ACTGCAACACAGTTCCTTGCAGCATACCTAATGCATAAAGCAAAGCTGATAACTGGTTCAGAAAATCAAATACTGATTGTCTTTTGATCCCATACATCTGGTTACAGATTTTATTTCAGGAAACCAGAAAATTCAAACCCTGAATCAACCACAAAGTTTTTGCCAACACTTACTGAAAGCTTAAAATCCTACAGGTCTGCCAGGAGTGCAGAAGCATGTGCTCCCCTCCACCCTGTGTGTATTTGTTGGCACAGATCTGGGAGCTGGCACATCTGGGAGCTCCACTGAAGAAGCAGAGGGCACACATCATCATCATCATACTAAGAAAATGAAAGACCAGCCTAGGCACTGATGTTGGTTGGACAAGCCTTTTGGATGACTGGGAGCTCTGGCTACTCGTATACTATAGTATACTATAATATACTATACAAATATGCTTGTATAGTATCCAGGCTACTTATATCAAGTTGTGAAAGCCGTACGAAACTGAGCAAGTGACGGGTTTTTTTGCTCCTGCAACTCATACTTTTCAACACATAGATGCTGAGTTGTGGTACAGTGTAATGTCTACCAGATGCTGGGATGTTGGGATTTGGGTCCTCCTGGCTCTGGATTACCTCCCTGTAGGAACAAAAGTTATCTCACTATGGCTCACACCATTACATCTGAACTGCCATGGCAAAACCTGTTTAAGCCCAGATGTTTGCTCAGTCATATGATAAAGCAATATAATAACTAGACCTGAGGCACAAAAATATCCCTTAGGCACAGAAAGTCTAACTCAATGCAGTGGAAATCTGTTCTAACATTAATACAGGGCAGGAAAAAAATCCAGTGTTTGGACACAACAACTGCAATCTCAGATGTATGCAATACTCTGACACCAAGTAACAAATAGGAACATTGCTTACAAAATTGTCTTTACTGCATTTTTGCCACAGAATGAAGCATTCATACACTAACTAACATTTGTCCTACTATCAGAAAAAGCTTTTTACAGATCTTGCTTGAATATTCTGAAGCTCTTTTTTTCCCTCTTACTCCTCTACACTGATTTAAAAGCAATTCTTGGTAGGGCACTGGTGGAGGTACTGGATGGTACATTACAGTGGTATATCCCAGCTGCCTCTTCCAATAACAACAAAATTCAATTATAAAGATTTCCTCTCTGTTAAATTGGTACCAAAATTCTTGACACCAGCAAGACAATTAGCCCCTAAATGTCTATATGGTCTTTCTATCAGTCACAAGATGACAAAGGCTATTTCAAATACCCCAGAATCTGGGAATACATTTGCTTCCCTTAGACAGAAGGGAGAGAAGGGCACTCAGTACAGACTCTGTAAGCCTTATCAATGTCACATTCACCTGTTTTTTTCCTGAAACTTTTACCTCAGGTACATGATAAATTAGGTTTTAAAACTACAGGTGCCAGTATTTTTCAGATTCAGTTGTGTCTTTTCTCCCCCCCAACTCAGTGAGACACTAACTTTTAACTTTTAACTATAATATCAGCAACTTATTACTTTTCTGTTCTGTGACAGTGGTTTATGGTTTGTTACAAAGATAAATAAACCAACTCCATCCAAGGTGCTCCAGTGGTAATAGTGGTCACCGTTCAGTATTTTCCAGGTGGTCAAAAAGAGTCATATTATTTTGACAGAGAATTTAGAGTAATTTTACCAGAAAGCTAAAGCAAATGTTAATATTTAATTTGGATCATTTATACACTAATATGAAAGGACATTAATTCTTGTAAAAATACATATATGAATAAACAGAAACTCATGACATACAAGCCAAGAGTGCAAATAAGGTATAGATGTCCTTTGGTGGAGTTTCATTGTCAAGGGGGGAAATCCTCATCCTACAGACACACGACACAGTGTAACTAGAACCAGTCACCACTAGGCATAAAATGAAACGTCACTCATATTACATGGCACTCCAGAAAAATATGAACCAAATTTACCAATTTCTCAATGTCACTAATGCCAGAGAAAAAGAAAAATGAATAGCATGTATACATCCTGTATGTACAGGAATATCGTTATGCATACATATCCAGAGTAGGTTAAACCTTTTTCCTTCAAATCAGCTATACTGTAATTTAATTATTGCAACAAGTTGTGGGATGCCAGAACACTGCAAGCATTGTCCAACGAGTTAAGGAAAAGTCACATTTTCGATTTCCAAGAGGAAGGGTGGTGACCTATAAAGTTGTAAAGGAAACCACTCACAGAGTCATTTCAATACCCTTGCTAAAAACAGCCCCCTGGAATTATAAGAGTCTCTTCCTCATCCTGCTCAGAACAATTGGAAAATTATAGATAATTTAAAATACGTTAACTTAATATACTAAAAACCAAAATAAATGGAGACAAAAAAAATAACAATTCTCACTCGTGGAATTGCGCTGCTAATTTCTCAGATTTCTCTGGTAGTGGCATTAGGATTTAGCTAGTGGAAAACTGCCCCAGCTTGCATAACAATATTTAAAATGTGGTGCAGACCATGAGTGGTCTTTGTCTCCCAAAGACTTTACTTTTTAGTTTATCCTAAAGTCATCAGGGACAGGCTTAACTTAAGCCAGAACAAACACTGATTCCTAGAAGCTTTAGGTGAACAACATCAGACTGGATTTGACATGAACTAGTGATTTTTCTTTTTTTCCTATATGATCAGATCAAATCTAAAATAAATGTGACCTAAATATTTTTTAAAATAGAGGACAACGAAAAAAATCAGGTTTATGTTGCCTACTGTGATTTCTTCTACAATATATTCATCATAAAGTTCTATGCAATAAATGTAGCACTACATTCCTTCTTAGCCCATGATGCAATTACGGGCACTGAATCCAGCAAGGTAGAGCATGTTGTTAGCTGCGCTTCAACAGGTGTGGGGGGCATAGAAACAAGGGAGGGGAAAGTTTTTGTAAAAAAAAAAAACACACTGTGTCACACAGCAGAACAGCAAACACTGCACCAGCAGACACTATAGAGCTACTACTCCCTGCACTTCATCTCATCTCTAAGTAAACAAACAGCCATGAACACTTGAAATACAATATAATGTGTGCCTTAACCTATCCATGACAAAGAAGCAGGACTTTTAAAATCTTCCCAATCACTGTCTTCACAATATCTGGCTTTGTCCTCTGTGTTTCAGGACACTGATTTTTCATCAATGCACTTGTAGTGCCCGGGCAGGTGATGGGGAGCGGTGTGCATGGAACAAGGTCACTGGGCAAAAAGCTCTGCAGATATCCAGTTACACAGATACATGAAGGCTCCTTCCAGATGGGATCAGCACAAATTTGACACGATGGTATTAGCTACAAAATTCTGCACTCTCAATCCAGGTGAGAGAGGAGGATTCATTTCCAGCTTCTTCTAGTGATTCTTTCTCTGGCATCTTATTTCTGCTTTGCAAAGGGTCCAGGAATTTAGACTAATGAAACTAATTTACTAAGAAACTGACTGGTCATGGATCTCTTATTCCTCAGGTTTCTTTCGTCTTTTTTTTTAACACAGAAAATGAACTCACAGGTCCTAAAGCTCAGTGAAAACAGGCCTCATCTTAGTGACAGAAAACACAATTATTTAAATTGCTTTGGGGATATTTTAACACTGGAAGTGTGAAAGTTAATGCTTGAAGCAACACAAACCTGAGGTAAACATCACATAACTTAGAAGTAACTCCACTATCTTTTGTAAACAGTGAACTGGGGAAGAGGCAAAATTGGGAAAAAGTTAAATTTATCCATAGAAATGTAAGATTCTTCAAGTAATTTTTAAAAGCATCTATTAAAGATAGAACAGCACAGCTCCAAACCCACATAAAAAAGAGTCAATATCTGGCAATTCAGAGCATACTGTTTTTTAAAAAGCTACAGCAGAGCACTGCACTACCAGATAGAATTTGCAAACTTACCTACAGGTAAGGGTTAGGGTTACAAGTCTGGGACAAGTCCTTACACTCCTTAACGCCTTCCTCTGAACTCACTCTTTGGTCCTCTGTGGTTGCCACAAAAATGCTGTTTACTCATTGCTGCAGTTACTGAACTTCTGCACTTTTCTCATTCGTTCATAGTTCAAAGGTGGATGTCTCCGACAAACTGCTGCCCCGGCCTCGCAGTGTGCACCACACCAGGGCTCCTTGCCGTCACAGCGGCTGATTCTCTGGCTTTGGCAGGTGCTCTTAATCCTACCAGGATGTTCTACAGGTGACACTGACCTCGCTGATGGGAATGCACAGAGGTCACCAGCACTACCGTTAGTTGCAGATTGACACTCAATTTGCACATTACCTTACCAGAAGTGCCTCGCTTCCTCTGGACTTATGATCTAGTTTCGCAGGAGCCTTCCATCACTCCCGTCTAGAGCTGGCTCAGTGACCGGCGGCATCCGGGGCCGGCCGGCACGGCTCGCCCCGCTGGACCGGGGCAGCACACGCCGGGAAGGGCTGTGCAACCCTGCGGGTTGCAGGGGACCAGGGGACACGCTGTTCAGTTTCTGGCACTGGCAGCGAAAAGTTACTTATCTAAGCACACCTGGAGCCGTTCTGGGCCACTCACTGCCCTTGCCCTGGCTCGCTCTCCCCGCGCAGGGTGGCGCGGACGGGTGTCCCCCGGGCCCGCCGCTACCCGAATGTCCCCCCCGTACCTTTCTGAGGGCCGCCCGCAGGTCGCGGTGCTGCGGGGTGTCACCGCCGTCCCTTGGCCCCGAGCTGCGGCCGCGCAGGGCCGAGCCCAAGCGCGCCCAGCGCCCGCCGCCCCGCAGCGCCATGGCCGCCGCGCCCGGTCCCACTCCAAAGGCAAGGCCGAGGGCTGCCAAAGCCTGTCCCGCTCCAAGAGCCAAGGGCGAGGGCAGCCGCCGTGCCCGACCAGCTGGCCCGGGTCACCCCGGCAGCCCCTGCCCTGCCCTGCCCCGCCCCGTCCCGTCCCCTCCCTCCTCCCGCTCCTCTCTTCCCCGCAGCAAGCCACGGTAGGTCTCGGGTTACAGGCAGGTTTTCTTTAATGCCAACGAACAGCCATGAAGCGACCGACAAGCGGGTGGCGAAAGGGCCCCGCGCAGCGACAGGAGCCGGGCCCTCCGGGGAGCAGGGCACAGCCGGCCCTGCTGAGCGGCCTGCGCGGATCTCGGCAGCTTTCGGGTGGGTTTCTGTATTTTTGTAAGGAGAAATAGAAAATAACAAGAAATCCGCTCCTGTGCTCGTTCAACACGGACCGGTGGCGGTAGGGACACGCTAGTGACTCCGTAGGGGTATAGGAGCAATGTCTGCTCCGGGGGCAGGCGCAGGGGCCGTTCTTCTAAGCGATGACACAGCCTCCCTTCTCCTTGAAGGGATTCTTGTCCTCCGGAACCCCCTTCACCAGCGGGTCCTCGCCCGACCGCTCCTCGATGTAGTTCTTGATCTCTTCGGAGCACTTGGACACCTCGAGGGAAAGGACAGAGAAGAAGCTGTGTTATGACCGGAGCTAATGAACATCAGAGGAAGAAATCCGTGAATTCACATCTTTCTTATTTACCTTCCCGCCAAGCATAAAACATCTGACCACAGAGCAAGCACTAAGCACATGCAGACTCACCTTCTTTCCTCTTTTTTCACAGCCTGATATTCACAGAACATGTGAGTTTCTCTGGGAATGTATATGCCACTTGTAACAGCAACTGCTGCGTACACAAACTTGCATTTAAGTTTACATAAACTTAGTTATCCAACGTAGTTTTATTAAGCTACAGATCACACTCTTCCTCAGCATTGGCATGACTTAGTGTCAATGGTTTCAGGGTCAGTAACTTTCAATTCAGCTTTAAAGTATTTATGTCTTTACGTGTTTTTCCCAAACAAAACATTCAGCAGTGATTTTTCAGTGGTAATACAAATTCTTACTTTGTGGTTCTATTAGAGCAACGATGCATCTTGAGTGACAGTAAAGACCTGACTGGGAAAGACAATATACTTACAGGTTACCCGGGGTTATTTTGAACAATAGTTAACAGAATAGTCTATTTTGTTATGAGAGAACATAATACACATAACACTATGCGTGGCATTCATAGCAAACTAGCACTGATGTAGGTAAGCCTGCACAGAACCTGCCCGTGGAGAAGAAATGTGTTCAGTTTTTGTTCACTAAGACAAGAGAACATGCAGTAACAGTATCTGGGGAGCATGAGAGTCCACAAGGGAATCTCACCAGCTCCAGACGTTCTTTATCCACACACCCCTCTTGCTTCTTTTCCCTGTGTCAGCAGAAACTGTCCTTAGATGCTCGAACACCTGACATGCCTGAGGACATGCTCTGTCCCCACCTCCTCCCTTCCTACCCACAGTCCCTGCAGCGGCACAGCTGTGCAGCGTCAGCAGCAGGAACCAGCTGTTGGCCAGGCCACTAGATGATTAGTATTTCTAATTTAAGGCCTTTTGCCTTCTTTGTTAATTATATTTTACTTCATAGGTAGAACTATAACAAGAGAACCAATGAATTTGCCTGCTCTATCACAGACAACAGAGTAAAATTAAGCTTTAAGCCATCAGAAAGAACAGACTTAATTCCCAGTTAAACAGTGTATAAAATAAAATCTAGCCACCTTTGGACCTACAAATCCCATTGTATGTCTTACTCTTCTCTACCTTGCAAACCCTGTTCATTCAAATTGGAGCACCTTATCCCATAGTAAAGTTGTGCTCCAAAGTCTATGCAGGACCAGGGTTTGTTTTACTTCAGTCAGCATCACCAGGATCATTCTCATTTATAAGGAAAAAAAAGCCTGCTTAAATACACCTTCAAAAATTTTTATTCATTCAAAAATTATTCAAAAGTACACTTCCTTTTTGTGCTGTAAAGGTATAGGAAGGAGTCAAGAAAATTTTGGCTAAAAATTTTGGTAACAACAAAAGTGTGGCTTCTGCATTTCCCTGTCCCTGTACCAACCATACACGTACCAGGGGACTGTGGTGACCATAATACAGATTTCATTGTCACAGTGAAACTTCTGTTACAATGCACTGGTAAAACTGAGCATGCAGTCTGTGCTTTACTTCAGGTGAATCTAAAATATCTGTTTCCCTAAAGTGATCAGGCTTTTGGTTTATTTCGAAAATGTAGACAAGTATTGTTATTATTATTATAATATTTATTAGAATTATTAATTATTATTATTAATAATAATAATAATAATAATAATAAAAAACCTTTAGCTCCTGCAGAGTAAATTTCAGTTGCTTGGGAACTCTCTGAGGGATGATATTGCTATCTATAGTAGTTCGATATCAAGTCCTCAACACTGCTGGAGCTTTAGACTATACCATAACACCTACAATCACTGATACCTAACTCATAGCTAAAATGTAACTCTGGCGTTCTTATTTTCTGGGCTGAACACCTAGACAGGTGATTAGTAACTAGTGTGACTAATGCCACTGATTCCCACATATAAATGTATTTTTAGTCTTAACTAGAAGTGTTTATTTAGGTGTAGTTTGCTTCTGCTGGCATGCAGAATAAGAAAAAAAAAAGAATATTAGTTTCAGAGCAAGATCAGTTCCACGTCTTTCATTTATAGAAAATGTAGAAAACCACAAACATTTAACTGGAAAGTACTTCACCTGTGGAAAGGAACAATCAGTATAAATGTCTAAAAGTACAACTTTTCTATGGGACAAAGCTCGGTGGGTCACGGCTCCGCACCGGCAGCCTTTTGGCTCCTGCCCTCCGCCCGGGAACTGCATAGCGCAGGAAGAGGGAAGCCGGGGCAGGGAGCGGTGCCGCGGAAGGGCTTCCCACTGCACAGCACCCATCTCCTGGCACCGACAGGTCCCAGCGCGTTCTGTCTACAGAGGAGAGGAACACAGCGCGACGTGCTCCTCCCTCGCCTTGCAGGGTTGCCTTGTGCCGGCCTTGAGCTCCAGGGACTCGCGGGGAGGGGAAGCCAAGGGGTGCCAAATGCACCGGGAACAGCCGCGGCCGGCGCGCCCATACCAGCCTCTCGCGGCGCCTTCTCCCGCAGTGGTGCGCTACTTTCCCCCCGCTCCACAGTCACCCTGGGAAGGACCTACGCGGTGTTAGCGGTGCTGTGTCGACAACGCTGTCCCCGACCCCCGATCCAAAGCGGGTGGCAGGAGCCGTCGGTGCAAACCGCAGCCGTCCCAAAACATCCAGGGCTCTCCGGAGGAGCGGCTCTCACAGCCTCGCCGCCCCCGGTCCCGCCGCCCTCCCAACGTGCCCCTGGCCGCCTCATGAGCCCCCGCACCTCCGTCCAGGGACTAACGGGCTGCTCCCCGCCCCAGCCCCGGCCCTGGCGTCCGCCTCGGCGGCAGGGCAGCTTCGAGTCCTTTCTCCGCGCCCGCTCACCGGCTGCCTCTCCAGCTTCACTTCTTTCCGGAGCTGCTCCACTTCCATTTTCAGTTTGTCCTTCTCGCTCAGGTCCTCGATGTTGATGGCTGGCATCGTCTACACTGTCAAACCGCGCAGGGAGGGAGAGAGGGACAACAAAAGGTTACGTCTGGGCAGCGAGGGCGCCGGGGCCGGAGCCCCCGGGCGGTGGCGGAGCGGTGGGACGGTGGGACGGCCGCCCCCGGCCCGCCCCCGGGCTCACTCACACGCTGCCGTCCGAGTTGCCCCGCTGGTCGGCGGCGACCGCTTCCTCTCCGGCACGCCCGCACCCGTTCTCCGTGCCGCTCCGGCCTTTAAACCTCCACGCTAATCCCCCCTAACCGGATTAGAGCCCGCCGTCCAGGCCGACTCCGCTGCCGGGGCGTTGACACGGGCCCTGCCTGCACAGGGAGGTCCGGCCGTCCCGGAGCGGCCCCCAGGCTGTGCGTTCGGTCCCGCCGCCGCACCGGCGGCAGGAGCTGGAGGACCCTGCTGTGCTGATCTCTCCGGCCTCTCCCTCTTCACCACTGCTGCGGAGCAAACGTAGGGAGGTCGGCTGGGGGGTTTGGCCCAGCTGTGAAGTCTTTCTCCCCGACACCTCCTTCTCCTCTTCCACCTTCTGACCATCGCAATGTCTCATGCTTGTCCATGCCACCAGCATCCTTTGGCTCTGTGTTACTCTGCCCAGCAGCTAGGGTAGAATCAGGTGGTTTACATGGGCACATTCCTTGATACTTGTGTGTTACCACCACGAAGGGACTGGACAGAAAAGGTAGAGAGGGGAAGGAACCACTCTCATGTTAACTGCCCCAGCAGGCAGCCAGCCCATCAATGCCAGAGACAGCAACTTTTGTTGGTAGCTGTGTCTGCAAAGCAGAATTGCAGCTCTGCATGAGACAGTTATTGTGCCTGGCTTGCATCAAGGGTCTCTGGAATCATGGAGTTAGGAAAGGTGTTGAGAGTGGAGTACTCCACATAAGATAAGTGAGGGTTTCAGAAGACTCAAGAAGGAGCTAGGAAACTCTTCAGCTGTGGTTGCATACAGCTTTGAGGTCTAGATACCAAATAGGGCACTATGCTCTTTAGAACAGGGTGGTCCCTTCCTGCCTAGTTGTACAGCCCCTAGCATCTCTCATCCTAGCAGCTGCTTTTCTACAATACCACTGGAGGCACAACTCAGGACCCTTCAGACAGAACATAGCTGCAGGCCATTAAAATGGGCTTGTAGGCCTTCTGTTATCTAGCAATTCAAAGGTCCATATAGGAAATCACCCTTCCCTCTTTCCACCTCTTTTTTTCCTATTAAATACACTCATTTCTCCTCCTCTCCCCACTCACCAGATGTAAACAGCTGTCTGCAGTATGTAAGATTTACATCTTTCTTATCCAGTGCTCTTCCTATAGTGCTCTTGGGGTCTGTATTCCTTTTATTTTAGCCAGTTCACTAAAATCAGTTTTTCTCCCTCTGTTTATTATCTCCCCATTCCCAGTTGTTGATATGCAACTTGTACACCCACATAACCTACACTGACAGCTGCATCTCCAAACTCCACCAGCTGCTGGTCCTGGGCCAGTCAAAACAGGAGGAAGGAACTGGTCAGCCAGTCTTAGAGGGGCCAGGGCTGTTGCAGGAACAGAAGCACTGTGGTGTGGAGAGGCAGAGAGCATGTGGTGTGGTGGTGGTGGGCAAAGGTGTGGGAGTGAGCTGAAGGTGGGTTCTGGTACACCATTGACCTGGTTAGGGTGGGAAGAACTTGGTATCTGTAGCTCTGTAATGGAAAGCCTCCAGAGAGCTGTTTGCTGACATGACTAGCTCTGTTGATGGCAATCAGTAATGGACTTTCTACCACTTGCTGTGTTAACTTTTCCTGTATTTCATGTATTTTTACAGATATTTACCTAATCTGAGTTACAGCAAAGGAGAAGCTAAAAAGCAGCATTGATGGATAGGTGGCTTTAGCTCACACTTTGATTGGTATGTGTGTGTGCACAGAGGAAATGAAAAATATGGAAAATGGTGTTTGCATTATAGCATTCACTTTGCTATTATTTTAAGTGGTATTTCAATTACTTTGTTTGCAACTCAAAAAATTATGATGAAAACCAAAGCACATCAGTCTAGGACATCATATTAAAGACCATCATATTAAAATCACTTGAGAGTTTCCAGTATTAGAGGATGACTTTTTACTTTCTTCTGGAAATAGAAAATGTACACTGTTTTTTTATTTGTTTGTTCTTTCCTGACAGAGGGACATAAACTTTAATATAATTGCTCTGCCTAATAACATGAGCAAATTCCCTAAAAATGAGGACACCTGTTAGTAACAGTGGTAGCTATAAAATTCTAAAGGATGGCAGATGTGTCCCATGGTGATGACTCAAACTGTACCGGGGTTTATTTTCTTGTCACTAAAGCACCCACTTATCCTTTGGCAACTGGAGATTCTGAAAAAAAAAAGGAACAGTGCTAAAAAAGGAGAGGAAGAGGTGCCATTCATATTCTTTCAGAAGACATGTAGGTGGGGTAGGGATTAAATTTACTCCTTTCTTGCCTTTAAGAAAATTAAAATTATGTCAGAAAACTAGGTTGTAATCCTCCATGATATAAGAAAAGCAGAGGAGTCATGGAGAGAAAGTCAGCTCCTGAAATAATCAGGGTGCTATTAAGTTCCCCCTCCTTACAGCCCCTATGGACTCTGCTGCTTTCCTGCAGGCCACAGATTTCCAAGGCCCTGTATCTCAACCCCATTGGCAGCAGCGCCGGCCTGCAGGGCTTTGGTAAACGCCCGTTGCTGTAAAGGGAGCAGAGAAGAACAGTGGGAGATCAGATTATTTTATTGTTATCTAGGGAGAGCACGCCTAATTTGCAGCCACTCTTATCTCTCTTACTGAATTCTATCTGGAGTAAACACTAATTAATGTAATGTCTCTAATAGATTAGAGAGGGAAAAGTATGCTGTTTGCTGCTCATCCCTTTCTTCCCCTGATCACAACCCATTACCCAGTGGGATTAAAATCTGCAGAATAAACCAAGTCATGATATTTCCTGAAATCCATCTCTCTTTGCAGTGGCCAAGCAGCGATTCATCTCCGTGGGTTTTCCAAGAATCTCTGCCCTTTGACGATGTTTCGGTTTTCTCAAATTCATCAGCGTTTTACACAACAGTATTAAAATTATTACGCGCGTTTGCTTCAGTGGCACTCGCTAGGGAGCCTGTACTTGATCCAGCTGTATCAGGACCTGCAGCAGGCTAAGCCTTTGATTTTCGGCGACCCACCGCCCTCTACCTGGAGCCTCCGAATAGGGAGCGGCCTCAGGGGGGCGACGGCGACGGGGCGGGTACAGAAGGCTTTCGCTAAGTGACCCGTCACGGATTTCGCCGTGATTAACAGGAAATACTCTTTGAGCATCATCCCATAATGTGAGGAGGGCGGGGGACGAGACCGCCGGGGACCCCAGCCAGCTCCCCGTAGCCATGGGCGGTGCAGCCCGGCGCGGAGCCAGCCCCGGCGGTGCCCCCCGCCTGATCTCGCTGCTCCCCCCGACGGCGGCGGGGCAGGGGGTGCTGCCCGCGCCCCCCGGGCACACGCAGGCGCGCAGCTGCCGCGCCCAGGTGGCGGCCGGGTCAGCGGGGACCTCCTGCCCCGCTGAATCAGACCTTCCCCTCCCACCACATGCGCAAGGAGGGAGGTGGCCCGGGGCAGCCGCCTCGCTGCATATAAAGCGCTGCCGTCGGGCCGTCCAGAGCCGCTCGCTCCCGGGACCCCGCTGCCGCCCGCCCATCGCGACATGGACACGGGCCGCCGCCTGCCGCTGCCCGCGCTGCTGCTGCCGCTGGCCTGCGCCGCCCTGGCGCAGCGCTCCCTCACAGGTAGGAGCGGGCGCTCGGCGGGACCCCGCGGGGGACATTGTGGGGGGCTGCGCGGGGCTGGGGCCGCCTGTGCCGGCAGTGGCCTGAGCCGCTGGTATCTCCCGCAGAGAAGCAGCGCGCCTGTCTGCTGCCCCCCGACGACGGCCCCTGCCGCGCCCTGGTGCCGCGCTGGTACTACGACAGGCACACGCAGAGCTGCCAGGAGTTCACCTACGGGGGCTGCTACGGCAACGCCAACAACTTCCTCACCTTCGACGACTGCGAGAAAAACTGCTGGACCATCAAGAGTGAGTCCAGGGACCGGCAGTGCCCCAGAGCGCCCCGGGGTGGCAGGGCGCTAGAGGGGATCTGCGGGGACACCGGGGAGGCTGCGCAGCTTGCGGGATGCTTTGAACCCACCCGGTGTGTCACAGAGTCATAGAATTGTTAAGGTTAGAAAAGACCTTTAAGATCATCGAGTCCAAGTGATGTCCCTCTTGCTTGTTTCTGCTTCTTGCTGATGTCAATTTTAGGCAGAAAAACCAGAATGAGTTGTCTCAGAAATGACATGTGGAATTTATCTATTACTGGAATTTAATATGGCACCTACTGGCTAATCAATGCATCAGATTCCTCCTGTAAATTTTATCCCACTTCATTAAAGAATGCAGGTGGGACAAGCTGGGACTTGCTTACAGCTGGTGTAATAATGTTTTGCCTACACTACCACGTTGTTCTATCTGTGAAGAATGACGGGTTGATTTTACAGAGGATGAAATTATTTTTATTGCAGAAGTCCCCAAATTATGCCGGTTGGAGGCTGATGGAGGACCTTGCAGGAGTTATCTAAGAAGATATGCCTTTAACTTGAGCTCAATGAGGTGTGAGGAATTCATCTACGGTGGCTGTTATGGAAATGGCAACAACTTCAGAGATCTGCAGTCTTGTGTGGACCACTGTCTACCAGAAAGAAGTAATGGTTGTTCCAAATTTTTAATAAAATAGATGATTTAAAAGTGATATGAAGATGATACTTTATTTGATATTTTCCTCTGGATACCCATACAGTGGTAATTTTGAAGACTTCTGTGAAGCAAAGTTTATATTGTCCACATTAATTTTAATGTGTTACTTGTCTCAGCTGTTACTGAAAGAGCAAAAATGCTGTGGCCTAAATACTTCCACGGCTACATGCAACTGATTTCTTGACTTCTAGAGTCAAGGTACAGGTGTAGCTGAAGGGAAATAACAGGGTTGGAGATCTGTGTTGAGGGAGATGTGTCAGACATTGTGGCAGTCATATTCAGGGCACTGATACTGTAGTATAAAGCAGAAGTGCCTTTCTAAAATTCAGGCCTGAGAGATGGTATTAGGAGGCTTGGGTTTTTGGCACTCATCAGCTCAGATTCTGATAGAGGTTTTGCCTGATGTGATTCTTCACTATCTCGCCATAGGAGCTTAAAATAAGAAAGGTTGTAACTATGAGCAGGTGACTATAGCTAAGCATTGTCATGACCAC